TGTAAAGTTTGTATACATTATAAACACAAATTACAATTAATGAAATAAATATTCGATAATCTTAAAAATATTTGATATTATTCGAAACGAACTTATATTCAAATATAGTATATATATTCTTTATATAAATAAGTATTTAACCCATTATAATTTATAAATTATACATTTCACATACTATTTTAATTGAAGACACCTCGTACAGCGGGAACATTGTTTTAGTAACAGCTGAAGCAACAGAGCAGGCAAAACGGAGGCGAATATCCCGAGAAAACAAATGACCTTCGGGAAGTGACCTTGACAGTGATTAGCTACCGTCGCTCGTCAAGGCCTATCCGACTGATTGTGTATCTGTTATAAATGGTTATGTGATCGCCGTGTGGCTGGACCCCACCTGGTGAAACTGCATGCGTCAATGCCGCACAATGCTGCTGTATATATATAACAGGAGTATGGTGTTTTGAAGTGCTGGATGGTATTTAAATTTTTTGTTGCAATAAAATATACGCTAAGTTTTGTTAAAATAAATGTTTAAAATTCATATTTCATAGTAGAAACACAAATGTTCGAAATACATTTATAGATACTATAGTTCCATTTTATTGTTACATTTTTAAATGTTAAAGAGGTCATCATATCAAACAAACAGTCAAAAGTACTTTACTATTTTTCTATTTACCGTTACCGTCTAAGCGTTCTCAATTACACTTTACTCCTAAACAGCAAAGTTTAGTTACTCAGAATAATCTGCTCAATGCATCATACCTTAATCTAAGTAACTGAACTGATTCAAAACTGCCGAGTTAATGTGCAACTTTCTTTTGCCAAGCTTTTATGATTCTGTATTTAATTAATAGAAAAAGAATTTAAATGGACGTTGTTTAATAGTAACTTTATAAAATATTATGTTACGTCGTCAATATGTACAAAATTTGACATATTCAAAATTTTTTAGATTGAATACCTAGTATTACTCTAATAGATACTAATTGCAATAATCGTTAATAAATTATTTGATCAAAATCAAAGGCAAAAACAATAAAGAACAACCAATTTTACATTGTAAGAACATTATTATTTTTTTGGTATCATTATTAGTTATTATACAGGTTAATGGTAAAAGAAAGTCGAAATTTTGAATGCATTCAAATGAAATCTGACTGTACTGCCATAAATAATGTACATTTCTCAAGGACAAATTTCATTAATTGGTGGGGCTTGAGTCGCTACTCTGACGATTTTACTGATAGACTTTGTTTAAAAATATTTGATTCATATTCTCTATTGTTTTTGATTTGTCCATTGCATAAATATTTTTTCTACATAAATAGCTATATGCAACTGGAAAACAATAACTCCGTCGTAATTGTATAGTTTTCATTGATACCTCACAATTTAGAATATTTATTTAAATTTATATTCATTATAAAAAGACTTCTAAGGCATATTCATAGACCAATCGTACTTTTCTATAAATTTATTCAATGATATTCATATGTATTGTGAAAATTGTATGTGCATTATTATAAATTTAACAAAAATTTATGTTATATATAATACCACAAAATCTCTATTTTCCTTGCTTCATGAACATAGTCTTTCAGCAGTAAGTTCGTCTTGAGTCACAATTTTGCAAAAGGCAGAGGCATAGAGTTATTAAGAAGGATTTATTTTATTTATAAAACATAAACAGAACGTTGGGATAAATCGTGCATAAATATATAAAAATAATAAGAATAATTATGATAGAAAAACGAATAATACAATGTTAATTTGATAGGTAATATATAAATGAATATATTTTGTAAATAATTTCTTGTAAAGATACATAAAAGCACCCTCGTTGTACATATAGAAACTGTTTAAATTTTTATTAAATTAGTGATAATTCAAGTTGTGCAACATTGTCATACTATTAATTATTTTTTGTGATTGTGCACTGAGAACACTAGAAGCACCCTTTTGACATCACTTAAAATATACAAAAATGTGTATGCATACGTATATATTATATTATATATGTATGTATGTGATGTATATGAACTATTGTACATGAACAATTGTTTTTGTGAACAGATAATCTAGTTTTATATTGTATAAATGTAAATTATACAGTTGAGAGTTGGAATTTCTAAATGAACCTGTGATAGCCATCATAGCATTTTTTTATATTGAGAATCTGCATTTAAAATATCATATTAGTAATATGTATTTGTTTGTTCCGTAATTCTATGTACGTTCCGTTATTTGTACTAAGTAAAATATACATCTGCAGGTTAGACTTCAGAAATGAAGAAAATATTATGTTATGATTACTTTAACTTTTTCGTGTTATATAGAATTTTTTACAAAATTGTATTGTTTCATAAATGAATAAATCCTAATTTGAGTTAGAATTATTCAAAGGTTTTAAAAAATAATCTCTTTCCTCCAACAAAATTTCTTTATTTCTTTTATTATTTTAAAGCTTCATGAAGTATCTTCAATAAAGTATTTTCTTCATATTTCTTATTGAAGCTTTGATGGCTATCAGGTAGTATATATTTTAAAATGATATTTCTGTCATATGAATGTTGAGTACTGAATTCGATAATATTTTAAATAGGAAGAATTTTAACAAATTTACATCCATTGAAAGAAATCATGTTACTTCGGGTAATAATTTCGTTAAATTTTTTTCTATTTTTAATGTTAAGTTAAATTATTTAGTTAGAACATTGCTTGTTTAACGAAATTTATTTCAATAGATCTTGAATCATATGTTGTAAATAGTAGCATGCTTATTTTACATGGTGGGAATTTATGCTGTATATAAAACATATAAAGAAATGAACATCCAAATTTGCGTTTAATTTGATTCAGCCCTATATTGTAATGGAATCACGTATAATGTAAAGTATAGTAATTTAATAATACAATTTAAGAACCAGCAGGAAAAAATAAATTGTAATTTCGATGTAAAATATTCTCTTCAAAGTTAGATTAATAAGTTAGGGATTATTATGTTACAATTTTATCATTGAATATTAAATTTATATGATTGTATAGATCATAAACAAAGTAAGCTTTGCGTGTAAATATAAATATTTTAAAAATAAGTAAATCTTTTGCATGTTTACATAATTAAGGAGCTTCTAAAGTTTGTCTGCCATATAATTGCATATATAGTATGTATGTATTATAATTACAACTAATACTGATACACCAAAGATCACAAGTTGATTGTAATATGTAACAATTGTTGATATTCAACACATTTTTAAAAGATGGTGTATTTGTAACGCTCAATAAATAATTGGTGTTTATAGTGTGCTTCATAAACAAATATAATGTATCATAATTTTCATGCAGACTATAATAATTATACCAATTAAAATATTCACTTTTGTGCCCATTTGTATGTATGTATAATGAATGCATTACAAGCTCCTTAATTTTGTTTGCAGTGCCACGAATATTCTATCATGTATATGAATATGCGTTTTAAAATCACCAGCTCCAAGGTGAAACTTGATGACTTTGAAACCTGCTGTATGCAAAACATTTGTATTTTTAGTATTTGGTTAATTGTTCGCGCTACGATTATGAAAAAAATATTACAATTATATTATTACCTATTATTACACAAAGTGGATACACAATATAGTAATTTGCTAATTGTACCTTTTAATAATTACTGTAGACACATTGATGAAGGTTTTTTTCTTGTTATTAATTATTATCATAAACTTAAAAGATAATGAAAAATGTGTTATAAAAAGATGCAATTGCTTATTTTGTATCATACCCAATTTCATGAATTACTTTGATATCTTACATACATATTTGTCAAATCAAAATAATTTTGTGGTCATTTATAATACAGAAATACATTCTGTAGTTATACCAATTTTCCTAGTTTTACTTTTACAACAATTATTTTGTGATAGAAAAGCAAATAATCTTTTGCAAACATTTACAGATATTTTCCTTAAAAATAAAAGATATCATAAAAGATTTAAGTTAATTTCTTTGCAGATTATAGAATTATGATAATTGTTATATTTATCTTATAAATTATACATTAAAATATTAATCAATATAAAACTTTTTTAAAGATATTTTTGTGGGAAGTTTTAAAATATAGACATAATACAACATTTTTATTTTTTGTAAATTTATGAATTTCATGTATATAATATCAAACATTTGTCTATAGCTATTTCTAGTTACAAATTAAATTACAAGAGTTTGTGAGTTTCATGTAACTTCAATTTTGTTTATTAAAATTTTTATAAATGTATTTATTTTAAAATAAGATTTTATACTGATAGTATGACATAGTTTGTGGGATTTTATCTCTTGTATACATATAATCACATACTTGTGAGTGATATAATTATTATTTCCAAGGCAATACCATAGTAAAATATTATAGAAGTAATAAATAACATTTATTAAAATAAAAATATTAAAAAATTAACTTTCTACCAAGATTGAAAACTATTAGAATTGTTTAAAAGTAGATTATAAGTTACTTGTTATAATAAGCTTTCCTTTTTGGGTAGTAAGTGAAACTTTTTTTGTATTACTTCTATTGAATACTATGTAATCAAGTACTTCAATATTATCTATTTTTGTATCTTTGTAAAGTTAATCTTGGAAATTTTGTTATAAATCAAGAATGTTACTATTCTTTTTTATGTGAGTCTAAAAATTAATTTATAGTCTTGTGTAGTTAAAAATTTATTATTATTATTATTATTATTATTATTATTATGATTTTGTAGAAACAAAATTATAGTATATAGAATACAGAAGTATAAAAATTTATAAGAACTTATAAAACGAATAGTATATAAATTTTTATTTATAACTAAAAATGTGAATAAACGGCTTCACAATTTTACGACACTATATTTTTATATTTTAAATAAGTTTTTGTGTGCACAATTAGCTCATAGTGTCTTAAAGAAAAAAAAGTTATAGATATATATGTATATAAAACGTATTACATGTGCATACGTTAATCGTAAAGAAAACTAATATTCATATTTATGCATATGAATACATATAGGTTATATATATATTAATTCAGCACGTGGCTTAGGTAGTGTACATGTTCAATTAGTATTCTAACAAATAATTTATTTTACATTTTAGTAACTAAATAATACGTAAGAAATGAGTATTGATAAAAAAGAAACAAAAAATAATTCAGGAGTAACTGAATTTGTTGAATCTAAAGAAAGAAAAAGACGACATGAGAATGAAAATCGTATGGAAGTAAGTAGTAGGGTTATGTTGAATTATAAAAATGTGAACTTTATATTTAAATTAATATTCGATTGTTTTTGGTTAGTATCTGTATATCTTTACTTACTATATTTCCTTGCAGGTTGAAGTAATCAATGGTATAGAAGGAAAAACAAAATCACGCATAACTTCAAAAAGAGCTCGAACTATACAAGGTGGTGAACAAAGAAAGGTAAAAGAAAAAACTTAATTTCATCAATATTTGAATAACATTAATATATAGACTATATATTTTATTATTAAAATTAAATAAAATACTTTCAGATATCTGTACCTGCTCACAGGTATACACCATTAAAAGAAAATTGGATGAAAATATTTACACCTATTGTTGAACATTTACAATTGCAGATAAGATTTAATGTGAAAACACGAAATGTAGAATTAAGAACAGGTGCAGAAACTCTTGATATTGCTAATCTACAAAAAGGAGCTGATTTTGTAAAAGCATTTATTTATGGGTTTGAAGTAGAAGATGCTCTAGCTTTGTTACGTTTAGATGATTTATTTGTAGAAACATTTGAAATTCAAGATGTAAAACCTTTGAAAGGTGATCATGTTTCTAGAGCAATTGGAAGATTAGCTGGGAAGGGTGGAAGGACAAAGTATACAATAGAAAATGTTACGAAAACTAGAATTGTACTAGCTGATAGTAAAATTCATATACTTGGTTCTTTTCAAAATATACAATTGGCAAGGAGAGCAATATGTAATTTAATTTTGGGTAGTCCACCATCAAAAGTTTATGGACAATTGCGGAATGTAGCAAATAAAGTTTCAGGACGATTATAAATATTACAAGTTAGTATCAAGGTAATAATCAATACTTAATGTATTTATATTAAATTTTTATGGTTCTGTTAAAAAATTGAATAATTTAGATAAAATTCTTAATAAATAAGAAATAAATTCAATATATGTATATATATATTGAATTTATTTATATATATAATATATATAATAATAATATATATAATTATTTAGTTTCATAGAATCAAAGAAGTTGAGATTTGGTTAAAGCAGTATTTGATACTTGTATTTCCTAGGAACTTTGTTAAGAACTAATCTACCATCATAACTCAATGATGCAAATGTCCAAGGATCAGCAGATGACCATTCAACTGCATATACACTATCTTCATGTTCTTCATATCTACCAACAACTCCATCTTCAAGCCTAGAAATGATTTTATATTTCATAATTTTCAAATATTTTATTCACACTACGTATTAATTATCAGTTGTTACTTGTCTTTTTTGCAATTGTACTCGTTTTGTGTACAATCATCCTCAGGGGGCACAATGTGTCCAAAAGGTTCTGAAGATATAGATGCAATACTGCATAATATTACTCTTGAGTCACTACTTGAAGTTAAAACTAATTGATCATGGAAACGGTTAATTCTAATACTCCACACCCAATGTGAATGTTCCATACGAGATAATATAGGTTCAGTAGGTGATCGAATATCCCAAAATTTCATATATCCATCATCTCCACATGTAGATAAAATATATTGTCGATTCACATTAAAATCTAAATCTCTAAATATAAAATTAATATTATATTGAACTACTTGTTCTTTCATAATTGATTGTAAAATCAATAAATAAAAGAAATTAATGTAAATTTTACTTGGTACCTAATTATTTGAGAATGAGCAGACAAAATTGTCCAAGATGCCTCAGCAGGATTTCTGAAATCCCATCCACGAACATTATTCTCATTCAATGTGACAAACTGATTACAACCATTATGAGGATTCCATTTTCCATTTGTGAAACGTGGTTGACCTTTACTAGCTAAAGTACCAGAAGTAGTTGCCTAAATAAGATAATACATAAAAAAATATATTTGGTGATAATTTATTTAATATTCAGAAATAGTCTGTAAATCTATTTTTACCTGTGGTCCATTATCAGCTAGATCCCATAATATAAACTTATTGTCCACAACTGAAACAGCTTTTGTTGAATCCATAGGATGATAAGCAATAGTCTTGAGGTCTGTGCCATATGGCGTGGTATCAATATTTGCTATATTTTTAAGATTTTCAATATCATTTGTGTATTCCTTTAATTCTGGTAGTTTCCAAAGAGCTCCTTTCATATGGCAGGAACCATCATCTTAATGAAAACATATTGTTTATTTATTTTTTAGATATAATTGTCTATTACTAATTTAATTTTATAAAAAATAGACATTTTCAATCATACCTACCACGTAAAGTATTATAACAAGTAATGAATACACTGGGATCTGTTGGAGAAGCTTGTAGAGACCAAATTTCTCCAATATGATGATGAAAGACTTGAGTCTTTAATCCACCTGTTTCTTCGTTAAGTTCTACCAAATGAACTTGATTATTATTAAATTTCAATGACTGTGTTCCAACTAAAAATCTGACAATATCTGTTTCTGCTATTTGAGCTGATAATGCTCTTGTCTACAATGAAAGAAGTGTTATGAATGATTATAACAATAGCGGTTAGAAATATTAGTTTTAAATAATACTTTATACTTTAAATTGCGATAAATTTTTATGAAAGTAAACATTAAAATTTATATTTTGCAGTTATATTATTACTTACAAAAATTTACAATTAAAAATAATACTTGTAAGATTTTTCATATTTAATTACATACTTGAAATTCAAGGCCATATATTACAGGGCTATCGTTTTCCATAGTTCACTGCAATTTATATTTTACAACAAATTGTAGACTTTTATTTACAAAGCATTTGTAATTTAGACGTATAATTTATCAACATAGGTTATAATAGTGACACTATATACAAGCTCGTATATACATATATTTGACCATGCAAAAATGGGTAATAACTAGAGGGTACTAAAAATAATTAATATTAATTACAATAAATATATCAATATATTATTTTTATTAAACATTAATTTATCGTTAAGTATAAAACATTATAAGAACTAAAAATATATAGTCGTCTTTTATATTCAATTATGTCAAAAAAATGATTTTAATATATTTAAAATTATTTGTCATTTTAAATGCTACATAATTATTTTGATATACAACGTTTAAATTTTTTAAATGTATCAAAAATAAAATATAATGTGTAAGAATTTGTATCATATTGAAAAGTATACTAAATTTGAAAATTATTATTATTTAGATGAAGGGTACTGAAATGTAGCGTTTCTTATGACTAAAAAATAATTTTAATTAAATATTTAATTCTTATAGTGAAATTGTGTAATTGAAATTAAATATGTGCATATAAAGAAATCTCATTGAATTCATAAACCGCGTAAATAGGAGGGAGAGATAACTGACCAATCAGCAGTTGCTTTACCTTCAAACTAACGAACTACAAGAACATCTATATATTTTCGTTATCCCTGGCGTACCCCCACCATTTAGTTAACAGCTCCCTGCGTTGCTTTGCGTCGGCCGACGGGTAACCAGCCGTGGGGTCACCAGATAAATTATGTCAAACGGAGTGGTGTTACGAACGTGAACGATTATCGGTATTCGCTGTGCTCGTATACGAAAGTATTGCAAAGTGCGCGCTCATATACGATTCGAGTGTTGTGCCGATGTAATTCACAAACTGGTTGTCTCACAAACTTTCATTAAATAAGTGTTAATTTTGAATGATCGTGTACAAACGTGTGCATTCGTATTGTCTCTTTGTACAAATGCACGTATCTGCATTTATTTCTTTAAAAACATCATGCTGACCCGACAACATCAATTGTAAGTAATTGTTCGTTGCATTATTTAAACTTTCTTTTAATTGACACTTGCAAATTTCAAACATTTATATCTGGTCTGTTGTCATAAAACAGCGGAATATGTATTCTCTTTTTTCACTTGGGTAAAAATACTCGTGTCATGTAATCACATTTGGCGAAAGTAAAACTGAAAAGTAAAGATATCGTTTTCGTATTGTTTGTGTGTCGATTTTCCAAAAATCGAGATCCTTTAGTTTTATTATTTTTACGAACTTTTTTTTCCTCACATGATTCGAAGTTTATTTTCAAGATCGCGATTTGTTGTCGTTCGTATGTTTATCGAATTATTTTATTTTGATATGAACTTGAAATGATAAAAAGAATAGGGTAATATTATATAGGCAGCTTTGTATTTTTTATTCTTACAATACGATTTTGAAATATAAAACCCTTTTCGCATAGGATACAAATGATGAAACATTTTTAAAAGCTTTTCTATTTCTTTTCAAAGTTTCTATTTACATTTTTGTAGAAATATAGCTAGTATAGAAATTAAAACGATAGTATAAGAACCTTTAGGTGGCTAATATTACATATATTTAGATATTGCTTAGTACTTTAAGTTAAAGTATAATCTCATAGCGTTTTTGTATTCTATATTACAAGTCACTATAGCCAGGTAAATCCTATAGTGGATATGATAAATTGTAGACTGCAGTATGGGGGATTATTAGTATTATAAACATATACTATTTCACAATACTATATAATGCTATTACTAGCACTATTATAGTATGTTATCAGAAATTTGTCACTATATTATAATGCTATATAAGCATAATAATATAATACATCGTTTAACAGTACTTTCTTAGCGACGTGCTACTACATTACGAGTAACTATAATCGCTATAGTCACTGTAGTCACGTACGGAACAAAAAGCGATAATGATCACAGAGAACTTGAAAAATCTACTACCATAAAAACAATGCTAAAAGAAAATATTTCCATTATAATGTCCGCATTACTATACACAACTATACACCACTACATCGATCTATAGCAAAATATCCGTTGAAATAAGGGAAATACATCAAAAGACAGTTACACATTCCAAGTACATTCCCACATTCTACCATAATTTCATCGTTACTATCCAATGATCACACATCTCCTCAATTTTCTAACCGCCGCTTCATCACGCCATCGGTCATCCCGTTCCAACCTGCGCTCCGGCGAGAGATCGAAAATACCAGTGGAAAGAACGTTTGATCGCGATCGTTGGAGCGATCGCTAACGCGCGCGTCCATCGAGGAAGTTCTCGCGTCTTTAAACTCGACTGTTCGATTGCCGGCGCGTACACGGTCGGTTGAAAAAGAAGAAAGAGGATGAAGGAGGAGGAAGAAGAAGAAGAAAAGGGAGAAAAAGAAAAGGAGCAACGGCATCGTCGCACGTTACGTCGTTGAGCCGTTGAGTGCGTGAAAACGAACCGCTGGCCGGTTCGCCGGCTGCCACCGTCGGTTTTCTCGTTCGAGAGCGTCCGCAGGCCGCTTCGACTCGGCCTCTCGGGTTAATTGATCGGCCGGGATGTTTTCGTCCTCTTGGTCGACCTCGTTGCAGCAGCGTCGGTCAGCTCGCTGCCGAAGCCGACATGGTAGTTTGCTTCCACGTGAGATCGATCACTCGAGACGCACCGGCGACCGCCATATACAATGTACGTGCGGCCGGGCAAGTGCTGGGCCGTATATCAGTTGTTCAACAGATGACGAGCAGCCTGCGCGCGAACAAACGGTCCGTTTCTTCCATTTCTTTTCCTCTCTCTTCGCTTCTTCTCCTTTTTGTCCCCGTGACGATAAAAAACGATTCGCGGTCGCGTCTTCGTGGTTGTGTCAGTTTCCGGGACCTCGACCGTGACGTCTTTCGATGGCGCTGTTCAAGGGCCGTCACAGGGGGGTACTTGGCAGCCCTTGCAAGTGTCGTTCAAAGACGATTCTGGATTCTGGACCAGCTCGAGGATGCTGCTTCGCGTATAATTAGAATATCGCGTGTTGAAACGGGTTACCGAGTAATAGAGCGTATATATACGTATGTGTGACTGGTATCGAAGTTGCTTGCTGGAATAGAGCGTTGGCCACGCTAGCCTCTTTTGTCTGTGCTTCGGTGCAATGGTATTGGTGCCTTCGCATAATAGCTGATGTTGCCTTTAGATGGGTCATGTTTACGCTTGGATTAGCATAGGGTTGTTTATCGTTATTTTATAGGGAAATGGGTAATTTTGCAAATTTCTTTTCTCGCAGTTGTTTCCGTAGAATTTGTTCGAATTTCGTTCTTGCGGGTAGGATATCGAAACTTGGGACCAAGTTATAGAAAAGTTTGGGAGAAGTTTTTACTTCCGATGGAGAGGAGTTTCGTTGGAATGTGATACGTTATGCAAAGTTAATAGGTACTACACGAAGAAAATACCACTGTACCGAGTAAAATGATCTAGGATAACTGTATATACAGGATGGTCTGTTATGAATTGTTAAACTCCCCTTTCCACTGTTTCCCTCGTACTTGGAAAATTTGGGATTTAAAAGAATACACGTAGCCATTTGTATTCCTCTTTACTCTTATAAATTAATTTATAAATACCTATTTAAACACTCTCGGATAGTTCGGAAAATCCCATGTCGGCCCCTCGGAAATTTTTATTCCGGTTTCATTACAACGAAAAAAATATTCCTCCATCTTTGAATGATTATTTTACTCACATCCGATCGGAAAGACTCTAAAAGCCCCCGGGGGCCCCGTAAATTTTTATTCCGGTTTCATTGCAACGAGTGAAATGTTCCTCCATCTTTGAATCATTATTTCACTCACAGCCGATCGGAAAAATTCTAAAAGCTTCTAACGCAAGAAATGTTCGCGACGAAACCACTTCTCCAATTAACCCGTACTCGTGCCGGCATAAAAGAAACCGACGATCGTTGGTCGATAATCGAACTCGACGAACCCCGATGAACGGCGTGGCGCCTTTATTTTTCCGCGCTTTCCAACGGAGAAGCGGGCGCAACAACCGGCTAGTGTACACCTCAAGTTTCGTTTTAATCAATACTGTCGCGTGGTCGCGTGCAGAAAATTCTTTCGCTTATCGCGGCCCGTGCGAGCCGGTTCAACGACGGAGCGCAGTTAACGCGGCAGAAAGTGCATTTACTTTCGAGCTAAGCATACAACCCGCCTCTCGCTCTCTCTATTCCTCGCTGCCTAAATGATAGTCTCGTGTTAGATAAAAAATGATTTCTTCTCTACTAGTTAGACCGCGTTATCTGCTCTCGTGTCGTTTATCTTCAGGGAGGCACGATAACACGGTGATATAACGCTGCACTGTAGTAGCATTCGACTGCTGTTTCCTTTCTTTTTTCTCTCCCTTGTTTCCTCTTGTATTTTCTTCTTTTACCCGTTGTTTCACTGCCGCTCGATGAATGACTTATTTATTCGTTCGCGATTAAAGCGATCGGAACATGAGCGATAGCGTAAACGGAAGCGATTTATTTTAGCCGTGATGGGGGAACACCGGCGTCCGTTGGGCATTCAGATATGCAAGATAAGGGAAGGTTTGATGAACCGTACAGAAAGTATATAGAACACGATGTAACGTAGATTTTTCACAAAAAGATTTCGATTTTCCATTTGTTCGAGAATTCTAATCTCCAGCGCCATGTTGCTAGACGCTTCTAGCGACATCTGGTATTTTCGGCAGTTCTAATAAAACCTAATGGCGGCCACTTCTTTCTAAGCAATCGTAAAGAAAGCACGTATAGTTATTCTGAGAGATTATCCTGGTAAAACCTAACCCATTCACGCTATTTTTCAACACCGTTATTTTCTTATTTTTCCTCATTTTTCTTTATTACACTATCGAGTGAGTTTAATATTTACAATTGTGAAACTGGTTAGAATTATTTAGTAGAAATTTAGGGATATTTTTGGCAGATTCACTGGGACTTTTATTAACGTAGAAACACGATTGTATATACCTAATTATTTTTATCAC